GTAATTGCAAAGACTATGGCCTGGATCAGGCGCACCTTAGTCTCCAGCCTGATGTTGTTGCTCTTCCTTCAGTACTCTTGAGAGGTCCCTCACAGCTGACTTTCCCAGTGCAATTCATCTCCTGATTTCCTGGTTGCTGTAACCAAGAAAATTGCTACTCTACAAGTGAAGAAATTGAGCCTTTGAAAGATGAAGTGACTGGGATGTGAAGTTAGACCAGTCAGCTCTAAAGCCTGCGCTCGAAAGTCAGCGGGGTGGAGGCACTTTAAAGTCCTTCTCCTTTTACAGAGAAAGACTGTAAATCCCAGAGAGGGCTGGTGGTTTACCTATGACACACAGCGCACGAACAGAACAGCCATGTGCTTGAGAGACTGAGTTGAGGCTGCCTAGCTGGACTGGAGCCTCTGGCCCTCCACAGCAGTGCAGACAGATTGCTCTGGTGCAAGGGCCAAGCACAAGAAGGACGACACTCCTCTAAGGCTGAGGGAAGATTTTTATTGAAAAAGAGGACAGGAAAACACTGGGGAGCCTCAGGAGAAACACAGAGACCAGGCTGGCAAACGTCTGCATTTTCATTTGAATCACTAATCACACTGGGGTATTCAAATGATTTTTCCGGAACACAAAAGAAAAATTCCCTGCAGTTTTGTTATTTTTTTTTCATGACTAGAACCTATCTACATCTTGCTACTTTTTTTACAAAGGCTTTGAAATAATTTTCAGTGAAAATGTCACATAAGAAAGAGACTCAGGCTCTGGGTTGTGGATAGGAGTCCCTGGGTCATGCCAACAGTTAAGGGCTTTTACTGCTAATGTTTTGGCTAGCAGCAAAGTGTGTTAATAATTTGTTCCATGCTGGGAGGTTTGAGTCCATCCAGAGGTGCCTCGGGGGAAATGCCTGGTGATCTACTTTAGGAAAATCGGTCACTGAAAAAGTGACACACAGTTCTACTCTGCTACGTTCAGGGTCATCATGAGTTAGCGTCCCCTAGATGGCAACTGGGCTAGCATATAGAAAATGAATGAGAGTTTTCCTGCGAGGAGGTGAAGAATAGAAAGTTAGCAGGGCTGAACCTCTTGGGAGCCCCATTCATAAATTCTGTAGAAACCTTACACCCACAGTAAGAGACCAGACCCGTCCTCCCTAAACATTTCAGCACTGGCCCCCAGGCCAGGTGGTGCCAGGGCCGCATGGAGAGCGTGGCCGCCCGCTGTGGCTGAGTCTAGATGGAAAGCTCACCTCACAGCTGTCCTACAGCAAACAGCTCCAGCCCCCTCGGCTACAAGTTAGCCAGAGGTCTCTGCGCAGACTCGTCCCCAAGCTGTTACTCTGCAGAGATGCAGAGGGAGAAGTTGCTGGCACAGTGCTTCACTTTTGCTCATGGCCAGAGGGATGAGAGGGCAGGGGTGAAAGTGGGAAAGACTCTCTTGTTCGCCTGGACAGTTCTGGCTTAACTGTTGGACAGAGACTCCATCCTGTCCTGAAATGAGATCTGCCGCTCACCTAGATAGACAATTGAGTGTCCCCAATATGGAGAAGCCTTCCTTGCCATGCTGGTCAGGACTCTTGCTGGGGCTCCCCAGTGACAGCCCTCACTACATCCCATCATCACTTCTAACTCCCCTCTGATCACCACTGGCCAGCCCCACACCCCTTCAGAGGTCACCGGATACATCCAGACATACATGGGCTCTAGCATTTTCTTTTTGTCTCCTTTAACCTGCCCACTCGGAGGCTACCACCACCGCTGCCTGCCCTAGCAATTCCTTCCAAGTCAGTTCCTTCAGCCCCCCTTGGATTCCATCATCTCTTGGGGCTCAGTTTCTTCATCTGTAAGATGGGACTAATACAGCTATCGACATCTCATGAGCTGGTTGTCGATGAGATTACATGTTAGTGTCAGAATTAGAGGTCACTGCCTGGAACACAGAGAGAGGCCTGAATGCAAGCAGAACAAATGCGGTGGTTAAGTACCAGTAGGTTCCCTTGGTTCATCATGTCTACCATTCACTTGCTGTGCCACCTCCTGCAGCCTCCGTTTCCATGTCTGTAAAATGGGGTAATGATGCCCTACCTCCTGAGACTGCCACGCAGATCAAATATTACCTGTGAAGCACCCACAAGGAGGAGCACAGAAACCTGGCACAGAAAGGTTGGCTATTGCTGATAGTATTATTATTGAGTGTCTGCTTTGTGCCAAGCCCTGTTCTTATTCTAGAAGTCTGCTGACATTTCCTTTGGAATACGCAGAGTTTTGCCCCATGCTGACTCTCTGAGCTCCAGAAACCTTATTAAGTGGTGTCTGCTCTTTGAGGGCAGATAATCCTGCCAGTCCATCATGCCACAGCAGAGGGGGCAGGGCAGGGATGCCGACCGGCCGTGGTGGCCTTTAATTTCCCAGGAAATGCCAGCTATCTGAGATGGGCCAGTCCCATGTTCACTCCAGGCCTGGGCTCATCCTGAGCTCAGAAGTCAGCCTGGGCCTTGTCTCGGGTGCCCACCCAGCCCTGCTCTGAGCCAAGGGGTGGCTCGTATTTCCCAAACAGCAGTCCTGGAAACTGCTCTGCCAGCGACCTCTGCCCCACTGAGATATGTCAAGGAAAACAGGAGGGCAGCACAAAGGCAATGCTAATTATCTCTAATTACCCAGAAGAGGAAAGCACTGCTTTTCCTGAGGAGCTCCTAATGTGATAAAGAGCTATTATTAGGCAGGGGCTGGGAAGCTGCCACTTGTGACAGCGTGAAAAGGCAGAGAAGACACAGAAGCTGCTGGTCCCAAAGGCAAAGGAATTATGATGGTGGCAGGGGCGGGAGAGGAAGGGACTAGTATTGAACGAGGGCCTACAACATGCCATACATCTGGGAGGTAAGTGGTAGCTCTCTTGTTACAGACGAGGGGACTGAGGCACAGAGAGGTTAAGTACAGCCCAAGGTTGCACAGCTGGCAAACAGTGGCTGAGCCAGAATTATAATCTGGGTCCTTCTGGTGCTAAAAGCTGAGCTGGTCCTACTGTGCCACATAAGGGGCTTCTCCCAGGGCAGAAACCAGACCTGTGGGAGCTTTAAAAGGAACCTCTAGCTCTCCCTTCTGATGTTTGCTTCATCTGCAAGTTCTGTTCACTACGGTGGCCCTGCTGGTATGTGAAATGCCAGTGACATAGCTTCTGGCATGATGGTGACACATAACACCCCATAGTACAACAAACTGCCAGGGAATTCCTTAGGAGAGAGGATGATAAGGTGCAGCTTGCTTACTGTGGACAGGTCATCAAGAAAGGCTAACCACTGGAGAAGGACAACTTTATTTGGTTAAGCAGAGAGTCTATGAAAAGGAGATAAACCCCCCGTGAGACGGACACAACAGGTACAGCAATGGACTCAGACACACCAGGGACTGTGAAGATGGCACTGGGTGGGGCAGCATCTCGTCCTGTGGACCATGGGCCATCATAAGTGAAAGCCAACTCCAGAGCCACAACAAACACAGCCTACTTTTTGGTGGTGGTGTGAAGCTTACATCAGACAGGGCAAGCATATCAGGGATAAAGAGAATCTAAGAAGCTTCCATGGCTCTAGGGGTAGAAGCTCACACCCTGGGGAAGAAGTGGTGGATTTTTTGAGTAGACACATCTAGAACCTCCTCTTATTCTTGGGCAAACCTCAGTCCCTGGGAAGCTCCCAGTTAGGAAGGCCTTGGCCACTTCCTTGGTGGTCTTCAGGTCAGTTAGGACCGTCAGTTAGGGCCCTAGGCATGTGGGGGAGCAAAGATACAAGCCAGGATGAGCTGACTCTGGCAACACGGTGGCAGGCTGAAGTGGGAGGCCCAGGAGTCTTTGGGAAAGAACCCAGCCAATGGATTTCAGAGGTGGCAAAGCCTGGTAAAATTTAGTTCTTAATTTTTTTTGTGTGCAAGAATTTCCCTATGTTTTCAGATCCTCTGTCAAGTCTCCCTAAATGTGACGCTCTGCATCAGCTGTGCTGGGAAGGAGGCATCGGCAGGTGGAGTGGTTGGTGCCCCATCTACTGACATGGGAGAAGGGAGAAGCCAGCAGAGCCCTCTGCCCTAGGCGATTGTTCAGACGCTCAGGGAGGGGCCTGACCTTCCTGCTGGTGGAACACAGGTTGGGGTACCTAAGCCCTTCTCCCCTGACCAATCCAGAGCCCTGGGAGAGGCCAGGCTGATACTCACCACCGAGGACAGGTCCACATTCTCCACCCTCCGGTCATCCAGCTGCACAGGCTGCAGGCCGGCCACGCGCAGCTGCACTGATGAGGTGCGGTACACGAAGCTCAGCAGCCAGTCTCCCCTGGGAGTGGGAGAGAGGGAGCATCAGTTGCAGGAGGACAGAGATGAGCCAGGGAGTCTGGTGGGAAGTCAGTGGGAGACCAGGGCCCCTAACCGTGCCCACCTCCTCACCATGGGGAGTAATGCAATGGTTCTGGGTGCCTCCTGAGAGCCAGGGCCTGTGTCCTGGACTTTGCATGACCACACTTTTGGGGAACGCCACAACAACTCCACAAGGGCTGGGCTTTTGTCTGCTTTGTTCCCTTACTGGGTTCCAGGACTGAGAACACAGCCTGACCTTCGTTAGATAATTTTATCTGTTGACTGACTGAAAACTGGGGTAAAGTCCTGGACAGGTCAGTGTGTTGCTGAGGGGAACTGCTTTCAGGTGCGGGGGTGGGGGGGGGGATGAGGTTCTAGTTCTCGGAGCCTGAAACAGGAGGGTCACTTAGGAGGAAGACTGTGAGGGGATGACCCTCTAAAAGCTCTGTTATGTGTGGCTCTTGTTGCTGTTGTGATGTGCTGTCGAGTCGCTTGCGACTCATAGAGACCTTATGTACAACAGCCCTAAATCCTGCTCTATCCTGTGCCAAT